ACCCAGAAGAGATTTTATGGTTATTGCCATGCGCACGAGAGTTACACAGACGAAAGAGATAGTAGATTACTATGATCGTCAAGAACGCCAAAGATTACCTATGAATACAGTATTAGCCCTATCAGCAGATCAAACTCAGCCAAAGTAAATATCAATATAAGGGGTGAATTTTTTTCGAGAGAACATATCATTTATAATAATACGATTTTGCGTAATGAAAAAAGATAGATATAGATTTCTAATAATAATACTGCAGATCTTAGGGACATTTTAAAACACAGCACAATCATCGTGAATGGAGAATGGTGATATGAGGTTGTTTGTAAAATTAGGTTGAGGACAATTTAATATTTAACAAGGATAAATGATTATGAGAGTTGTAACGGTAGATGTTATTTGGTTAGAATATCTGGGTGGGATATCTATGGGTGATGATTTTTTTGTGAATCCGCTGCTTAAAGAGGACTCAGTTGTAAATGTTGCGAAGAAAATCGATAATTTTGTTTATCTATTAGGAGAAAAAAGATATCAAACTCATTTTTTTAGTATTTTATGTTATAAATCTCAGAAGATGAATATACCAGAATTGACGAGAAATGGAACAAGGTCTGGAGGGTTAGGAGGTTTCAAAAATTTAAGAAATCCTTTAACTGGAGAAGGAAAAAGAAATAAAATAACAAAACCAAAAAGAAGAAGAAAGAATCGAAATAAAAAATCTAAAGAACCTAACAACAAATTAAATTACTATAATTACCACAAAGTGGAAGGAGAGGATAATAGCGATAAATTAAAAAATTTGTTCAATCATATGAAAGGGTTGATGAATCATCAAAGCGGACATTCTCAAAACCCAAAAGTTAGCTCACATTATAAAGATTTACATAAACATCCGTTGAAAAAAAGAATTAATTTACAAAAAACATACTATACACCTAAATCTAACCCTATTAGATAATACTAATAATATTTTAATAATAACAGTTATATATAATAGTATAATAAAGACTTTAGGAACTAAAACAGTAGTCATGGCAGGAGGAAGAAGAAGAAGAAGGAGAAGAAGCACAAGAAGTGAAGAACGTAGAGAATTTTTTCGTCTTAATTCAGGAATAAGAAAACCGCTCGGTCCTATTGGTAATTCTTGGGATGAAGCCAATTTTTCTCCATTAAACAAAATAGCATATTTACGTCTTGTTGGACCACGACCCCGACATTTAACTGCTGATTATAAAATGCATAATTGGTCACGATATGTTCCTATGAGGGGTTGGAGATATTAAAAAAACAATCATGTCATTTACAAATTCTTCAACAAGTTTTAATTCCGATAAACTTAGTAGATTAGAAAATAGCGGAATACACAGTTTAAGTTCTTCTGACTTAAATTTATCCACATCTAGCACTGATGCATCTATAAATAAAGGTGTTTATGGTAAAATGGTATTAATTCCAGCTTCTATGTATCAAGCAACGAAGGAATTTATGAACCAGCATCTAAAGTCTTTAGAAGAAAACTCAGTTGCAAAACATAGAAAATTTGCTCTACAAAATGCACATGATCCTAAATTATACGCTTATCATTCTATCAAAGCAAACGAATACCAACAAGTGGCTGACAGTAAAAATATTTCAGAAATTATAGCATCTAAATTAACCAATCCGAGTATCCAGAGGATAGATAATCAACTTATTGCTATTAAAGGAAATAAAAAATTGTCAAAAAAAGATATGATTAGACATTATAATCATCTCTTATATAAAAAACAAAATTTGAAACGTATTCTGATGCAAGAAGAAAGTGATAATTACAACCGATATTCTTCAAACCCTTTTACACCAATTCCTCACACAATGCCTCAAACTCCAGCAAGCAACACTTTGCAAGATTTTTTAAAAACACACCCTAACATAATGACATATTCTAAAGAAAGAGGATTAACTATAGACGGTGAAGAAGTTTCAAAAGATTCTCATGCTTCTATGAGAATTTTGCATTATTTAACTAAAGATATAAGAGGTGCAGCACCTGCAGGAACAAATGCTTTAATGAAGGCGTTAAAAAAAAGAGGTTACGATTTTAACAATTTTGGCAATATTTACTTAAAAAAAGAATTAAGCAATAAGAAAGATAAAACGCCAGAAAGAAAAGAAACAGAAAAGAAAAGTCAAGAAAAATTTAAAGAAAAAATATCTAATCAAATGAGTGCAGTTAGAAATAGTTAATTAATAGCTCTCTTTATCTCTTTTTCTATATGTAATTTGTTTCAATAACTTCATTTTAGTATATGACCCGGATGAGCAACCAGAAAATATAATAGAAATACATTGCTACAGAAACTCTCAACAACCGTTCTCATATATGCATATTAAATCGTCAACAGGACTTCAAAGAACTCCTAAAGATATTAGAAGCAACTATTTTTTAGCTCAAGTTAATAATAAAAAAGTGGTTATTTCAAAAGAAATGTTATATTTTCTAGTTGCTGATTCGTATGGGATTGATCTAGAATGGATATTAAATCAATCAACATAAAATATATGTTATCTTTTTATTAAGGAACTACCTACCCACCCGTTCCTTGGGAAAGATTGAGAGAGGTGTACTTGCAAAAAAAAGAACAGAAATTTAGAAATGAAGACACCGACGATGAAGAATTAAGTGATGAAGAATTAAGTGATGAGGGGTATAATGGTGATTATGATCTCGGCATATATGACGAATTTAACAATGATGATGATGATGATGATGAACTTGACGAATTTGAAGATTTGGTCCTTTATAGCGAGATGGAAGAATATATACAATACTACAAACAATTTGTAGAACCTATGCATCAAAAATACGGCTCCCTCTTTAACCCACATCATGTACTATTATATGGTATTCCCCATATCTCGTATTTTGATGAAAAGTTAGGTTTAGTTTTTTCAAACCCTTTTTTGGGTACAACTATATGGGGATGATCATTAACTTCTTTTTTTGTATATAATATTACTTTTTTAACGAAATGAACGCTAGTCGTCATGGACCTTTTTTATATATTATTACTCTATTGATTAACGACAATCTGCTTTAAGTTTGTCTTTTTCTAAGTTTTTTCTTGCCCTATCTGAGAACAATTAATTGACATGGACATCAACTTATATTTCTTTTTCTTTTTTTTTTTTAACTTTATCCTCATCTTAATCCCTTTTTGATGCTGTTGACTGTGATATATTTCTTAACTCTTCCAGAATTGCAAAGTCAACATAGTCACTTGCTTTCTTTTTCTAACTTACACAAACTAACTGTTGGAATGATCACTCGTCTCAGATGGTGATTCACTTTCCAATCTTACCCTATCTAATAACAATTAATTGACGTTCGTAAACGTGGGCATCAACTTATATTTTTTAACTTTTTTATATATGTAAGTTTAGTATAATTAATTAAATTGGCATGAACGCTAGTCGTCATGTCATTTTTTTATATTACGTGTTGAATGTAGAAAAGATGTAGAAAAACGAATTATTTTATGTATATAATATCATGATTTAGAAATCTACATGAGTTTTTACTTCGTGTTTAAAAAACTGCATATGTTTCTCATCACTATAACTATGGAAATGAATGTTCAAAACTTTGGTAAACAATGTATCACCAACTGCTTCCCTAACCCATGAAACCTCAGGTCTTTCGCAGCAGTTATTTTTCTTGAATATTTTCTCATCATCTGTAAAAACAGAAATAATCACTTTCTTCCCGAGACAAAAGTTTGATGTTTGAAATTCTATGTGAAGGAATCTATCATAAGCCAGCATTTTTCTCATAGCGATAGCCAATTCGTTGGCATCTGCAGCAGATCCTACCTCAACATCAAAACTCTTAATTTTTATCCCATCTTCAAAACAATAGATGTAGGAAAAGAAACAGAACAACAAAATCACTTGCGATTTGAAACTAGACATCTTGACACTCTTAACTCTCTTGAAACAGTCAAAACGAAAAAGAAAATCAGTTTGATATAACTTTTTGTGATTTTAGTTCAATTAATTTTTTTTTTAAAACAGTCTTTACAATTTTACCTCTGCGGAGCAGCCTGTCACGTGGTCTTATACAGGACCCTACGCAGGAGCGCTAGGTTTAATATGCAACAGGTGGAACCCTAGTATACACTACTCCTTTCTTGAATCCAAACGTACAATGGGAAGCCCCTTTGCACAAAATTTCAAAGATGAAACATAATAGGTAACTCAGCACCTAGAACGTATATGAACGGTATATTTTGCATTTCTATACATGCAAGCTTATTAACTAATAAGACACTAAAAAGCTGAAAAATGGAAATACTCCTTAGATTCAGGGACGCCAAAACATTTGTTAGTTAGAGGTGCACAGTTAAAAGATCCACTATGTCGCATGCAAAGCACATTTCTGAAAGTTTTATAGAGAGAACTTTTATTTTAAAAAAGGCAATTTTTAAATTTGAATGAATTAACTGTTTCAAATATAGTTTCAAAATGGCGGAAAGGAAACCAAAGAGCATTGTATTTTATTGGAACAAGCTTGGAGTCAGAGCTTCAAGTCCACATAGACAATGTGGAAAACGCTAAGGAAGCATGGAAGGTCATAAAGGATCAGTTCCAATGTGTTTCTCTTATGCAAAGGATACGTCTTCGAAAGCAATATTATCAATTGGAGTTTCAGTATGGTTGTGGTATACATATCCATATTAGAAAGTTGTGTAAACTCCAAGACGAAATAAAGGAGTTAGGAGAGTCTTTGGATGATGAGGACTTAGCAATAACACTTCTAGCCAGTTTGCCTTTTGAAAGATATCAATCTCTGATTGTTTCTTTGGATGTCGCTGGAGAGGACAGTTTAAGCTTTAATAATGTGAAAGCTCTGTTGCTTAATGAGGCTGATCGTCTATCAATACAGAAAGCCAGCGAGTTGTTGCTAATTTTGCTTCAGCTACAAAGCCAAAACCGAAACCAAAATGGCATTTTAAGTGCTATGCCTGTTGAAAAAAGGGGGAATTTCGCAAAGGATTGTAGAAATCCACAAAAGAAAGAAAAGAATGCAGCACATAAATCAGACAACAAATGTCACAACCATATTGAAAATGTCGCAATCAGCATATGGTAAGGGTAAAAATTGGTCACGTGACTACTCTTATTGTAGCAATATGTCGGAATTTAAAGAAGAGGCTCTAAAAGACTCCGTCTAGATCATTTTTTCATGATAACAAGCACTTGCAATGCTCTGAAGTCGTAGACAAAACAGTGGCTCCTCCGTAGAGGTAATATGCTTATATGACGAACTTTAAACCCCGTATTTACCCCTTAAACCCCAACAATTTCCCGTTCACCATCACTTTTCCAAGTAACCAGACCCATAGCTACCTGAAAATATCCATTTGAATTTCTCCGCCCTGAGGTGGTACCTATCGCCACTGTAGCCCGGTCTCTATACATACTTGTGTGGCTTGACTTAATGATTTCAGATTCTGACATTTAGTGTAACTTTTATGTAACTTTTAGGGTAACTTTTAGATACAGGTTGTGGTGTTAGGGTGTTTTGTTTCAGGGAACTAACAAACATGTTCCCGGAAGCTACAACAACATCCGATGATACAGATATTGAGGAGGAGCACCACAGGGAGAGGTTGGCGAGGGGTGACGAATGCGAGCGGAGACCCTCCTCGTGATGTGGGGAGAGAGGAATGCGAGCGGCAACCCTCCTCAGAACAGCCCTGAGGATGGAGGTGGAGGAGCAGTCACAACAAGCACAATCACCAGAATCATCGCCACCCCCCATATCACCAACATCAACGCCACCCCAATCATCACTACATAGATCACTTCTAACATCACCACTTTGGGTACTCCCGATATCACCACTTAGATCGCCTCCAACATCACCTATAAGATCACAATCACCATGATCACCCCCAGTATCACCCGTTCCTCCATTTTACCTACCATTACAAACACCAATCACCATCTCATCAGATGATGATGCCTAAATATTATATGATTTGTCATATATATTATGATGTGCGCCTTATATTCTTTGTAGGTAGGTCTAGGTCTATGTTAAAAACCTTGTCTGTGACGTGCATGCAAAACCATAATACTAGGCAAAATACCATGTGTTATCGTATCACACTAATTTGCTGGCAGTCAAAGTATTTCCTGCTACTGGTATGTTTTTTTGCAGTAAAAGTATATACTGGTATGGTTTGACAGGCCATTTTTCGGGGATAGTTTTTTGTTATAGGCCTAGTGTTTACAGAAATACCTCCGGGGAGATGTTGCCGGCTCTGTTGCAGTTTTTCGTTCAAAATTGAAATCTCACATCATTGATTTCTAATTATAATTCTTTAGCAAATTTTCCAGCTAGTATTTTGAAAATTCTTGTAAGTCTCATTTCTTGGTCTTTAAAAACTACCAACTCTGTAAATCACTTTCAGTGAAAGTGCAACCCCTTGGAATGAATTTCACTCCTTGTATCCCAATAACATTCATATTCTACCACTGTCTTAAATCACGCCATGATATTACATATCGCTTTGATTTTCAGAGAAGGATATCAATGACAAAACAAGGAACCTGAGCATAATACTCAGGAGAGAAAAGGCCAAAGAGTCAAAACTACCAAAAAGAGGCAGTGGAGTTGAGGGTGGAAAGTATGCATAAAAGTGGAAGCATTACAGAACTTTACAATTTTTGATGGAGTTTATAACTGCAAAGAAGACAACATCAAACTTGGTAATTGATTGGGTACGTAGTTTCAAAAATATGGTTATATCATCTTCATCTGCCATGGAACTTGGCCAGGGTTAGAAACAAAGTATCTTGTAAACATCTCACAACACTCTTTTACACTGGAGCTTTGCTTTCCATTTTGGACCTTCTCAAGAGGAACCAATCCTTGGGGTTTGTCATCCTTACACCATTCCCCATGGAGCACCCAATGGTTTTCATAATCTTCTGTGTCAAAACTTCCTGGCGAGGTGTAGAGTGTTCTGCTACTGCTTTTCGTTCGCAGAAGGTTATGCAATGCACATCATGCCAGAGTAAGGCAAACTACTTTAGAAGGTTCAAGGCAGATGGGTTTCATAAAAATCCTGAAACGGTTAGCCGAAATACCAAATGCATATTCTGACAAACGCCTTGCCCTTCAAAGTCTGTAGTTGAAAAT